TGTGTGGCCAGCTCAGCCCACCAGGGGGCGCAGCTGGCTGGCATGTGGTGCTGGGGGATTGAACCGTGGTCCCTGTACTTTGCCAAGCTTGTTCCAAGTAGGTGCTTTAGACCACTGAGCCATCTCTCCAGCCCCAAGGCCTCAATTCTTATTATCTGGTCTCCCATGCTTCCTGACTCCACAGCTTCTGCATTCTGCATGCACTCCAATACCATATGAATGATGCCAAGATCTTACAAACCTAGAATCAAGGTTGCAGAAAGTATCCCTAATCTTCCCTTTATGACTAACTTTATCTTTTTAAAGAATCACATCCATCTATAATCAAATAAAATTACGCCACCAGGGTTTAAAAAAAAAAAGCGAAACAACAAAAATAACCCTTACCTGAAACTCTATACCTCCCTCTAAGTATCACATAATTAATCTACTTTCTTTATAGTAACGATGCTCAAGAGTTATCAATGTTATCTCAACTGTCTTTCTGTTCTCTTGAACCATTAATGAGGTTTTTTGCCCCAATGTCTCTGCTGTAGTTTGAACAGGAATGTCTTTCAAAGGCACAGATATTAGTCTTGTTCCCTAGCCTGTTGCATGACTGGAAAGAAGCAGAACCTTTAACAGGTGGGCCCTAGTAGAAGGAAGTTACATCACAGGGTTGCCCTTGGAAAATCCTGGCACCTTCCTTCCCTTTCACTATTCTTGAAGTAAGCAACTTTCCCTGTATCTCATGATGATGTGCTCCAACACTTTAGGTCCAAAACTCAGCAGGCAAACTGGCCAGGAACATACTTCTCCTCCTCCTCCTTCTACGTTGTTTATCCCAGATATTTTGTTACAGCAATGGAAAGCTGACTAATGCAGCCTTCAAACAAAACAGTCCTTGTCAAAATTACTATTATATCTATTTCATTTCTTAATGAATTCTTTTGCGTTCCATTGAATTTTTCTATAATAACCTGGAAAACTGCTACCATTTTAATGTTTGTATTTCTCATCATTACCAACACTGCTATCCTGTTATGTATAGAAGGATTAACAATAAGTTTCTTTTCTGAAGTTTTATACTTGCCCAAAGTGAGAGGTTAACTAATTAAACATGGTGCAAATTTTCAGTTAAACAACAAGAACAACAAACTACTAAATTCTGCCCTGTCTTCTGAGAAACACTTCACCTAGCTATTTTTCACCAGTACCAAGTCAAATCTATGACTGTGCTTTGAAAAGAAAAAATAGATTAATCTACTGAATGTGAGAGCCCTTTCTCCCACCTTATTACAAGATGTAGCCAAGGGGCTGGTGAGATGGCTCAGTGGTCTAAAGCACCTACTTAGAACAAGCTAAGCTAAGCAAAGCACAGGGACCACGGTTCAGTCCCTCAGCCCCACATACCAGCCAGCCCCGCCCCCTGGTGGGCTGAGCTGGCCACACACACACACACACACA